TTTTTTTTTTTTTTTTTTTGAGAGGTTTCCCCCAGGGGGGTCTTGATGCTGCAGTCCATGCCTAGCTTCAGCCAGCCCCAGATCGCCGACACAGACGTGCTGGCACAGGGCAGGGACGGTCTCAGAGGCAAAGCCAGAGCCTCCCTCACGTGGCCTCAGAGCACTGCGCGGCGCTGCTGGCACGGTCCCGCCCCCAGCACTGGAGGCTGTCGTCGTCTGATGCTCTTCCGTACCCTCTGCCCATCTTCTCTCGTTCCTTCATCTTCCTTGCTGTTGGATCTTGCAGTTCCAAGTCTCTCTTCACCTGCTTTCTAATCCCTTTTGTTTATAACGCCAGGGGGTGCATGCCCACGTGGGGGCACCGCTTGGTCTTGCCGGAGACCTTTTTCCTCAGATTTTCTGTGCCCCCAGGCTCTGGCATGCACATGTGCCCCAGGCTCGTTCCCCAAGCCTCCAGGGTTGGCACTGATCAGCCTGGGTGGTCACATGGCACTCAGCTTCCCCGCTCAGCACTTATGCGCTGTGCTCTGGGGCCGGTCCCCTGCCGTACTAATTTTTATTTACTTATTTACTTACTTATTTAATTCCATCTGTTATTATTTTTTGACCAGAGAGAGAAAGGGAAAGTGAGAAAGCGAGCCACCACGTCCAGGACTTGAACTGCGGTCGCCGATGTGGGAATCCAGTGTGCCTTAACCACCACATCACCTTCCGGCCCTATACTAATTCTCACACTTTTTTAGGCCTAGAATTTCCTTTCGGTTATTTTTAATTATCCTAGTTCTATTCTCTTTCTCACCCCTTTTCCTTCAACTTCTTAGTTGGCCGTCTGGTCGGTTTTAGTATCTGGCTAGGTGGTTGATGCCTCTTGGTTTGAGGTCCTGGTCCTTTGGTCAAGGTCTTGGCGTGTGGCCATGGAGGCCAGGATGACAAGTTAGGAGGCTTTGGGTGGTGTTCTGGTCCCCAGGACATGTCATGCTCAGTCAGCCGGGGGCTGGGTCACCGTGGTCTTCTATTTTTTATTTATTTATTTAAAAAAATTTTTGGAGAGGTTTTCGCTATAGGGCGTGTGCGCTAGCCAGAAGGACAGAGACAGAGAGACAGAAAGCGAGAAATCTCCCCCCAGGGGGGATGGTCACGCCGCAATCCCTTCTCCTCCATTCTCCTCTCAGGATCTTGGGCACGCACACACATGCACCCAGCATGAGTTTTAAGCCACCGGGTCCGGGACGCGAACCGCGGTCGACTACATGGGAGTCCAGCGACATAGCCATTTAAAGAATTACTTATTTTATCTGTTGTTATTATTATTATTTCATTTGACCTGACGAAGACACACAGAGAGAAAGAGAAAGGGAAAGTGAGAAAGCAAGCTGCCAGGTCCAGGACTTGAACCGTGGCCAACCACGTGGGCGTCCAGCACCCTAACCACTACACCACCTGCTGCCCCTCCAGTCCTAAGTTTTAAAAATACTTATTTATTTTAATTTTATTTATTTATTCATTTCTTTTAATTTGACCAGAGACAGAGAGAGAGAAAGAGAAAGAAAGCAAGTTGCCAGGTGCAGGACTTGAACTGTGGTCAGCCAAGTGGGAGTGTCCAGTGCAGTGGTAAAGTGTGATGTTCCCTGAGGCCGACCCACATGGAAGGTGCCTGGTTCGTGTCCGGGACCCACGTGCAGCGAGCACACGCGTGCCCGTGATCCGAGCTGGTGGAAGGCGGGGTGGATCGTAGCAGCAGGACCCCGTGGGGGGGCTGTCTCTGTCTCTCCCTCACGGAAGGACTCACCTAAACACCTGAGGATTCCCCAGAGCTTTGGTTCATGCGGACCGTGTCTACTGTACGGCTTACCGCCATCAACGTCTGTCAGTGCCAAAACCTGACTGAGGGGCCAGTCGACGGTGTAGGGTTACATTGCTGGAGTCGCACACGGCGATTTGATCCCAAATCTGGTGGGTTGAAAAACACGGGGCACGTGTGTGCGTGCCTAGAATCTTCCAAGAGGAGAATGGAGAAGGGGCTGCGGCATGGCCATCCCCCTTTGGGGTGCTTTCCCATGGCCCTTCTCCCGCTCTCCAGTGAGCACACGCACCCTAGGTAGTAGGCGTGCACGTACACCCACAGGTTCAACTCCAGAGGTGCAGCCGCCAAGTCTAGTGTGTGCTGTGTGCACACTTGTCCTTCCGAGGGCTGACCTCCCCCATGTCTTCAGCCAGACAGCTGAGAGGCCACGGCCAGGCTGGAAGGGGCAGTGCAGGACCCCTTCCTCACTGCCCCTGCGCCAGGTGCCAGGTCACCCCTGTGTTCTCTCCCAGGACACGTTTGACATCCGAATCCTGATGGCCAAATCTGTCAAGTACACAGTGAACTTCTTAGAAGCCAAAGAAGGAGATTTGCACAGGTACGCCCTTGTGCCCCGTCCTCCAGGGTGGGCGGGTGGCCTCCCCAGCAACCACCGACCTTTGTCTTCCAGGATAGAAATCCCATTCAAGTTCCACATGCTGCACTCAGGGCTGGTCCACGGCCTGGCTTTCTGGTTTGACGTCGCTTTCATTGGCTCCATGTGAGTGCAGGGAGTTGACATGCTGCCCCACACCGACCCCATGTCCTTGCCTGCAGCCGAGAGCCCTGGGCCTGGCCGGCCACACTCCGCATGGGGCAGGGAGGGCAGGGCTGGGCTTGTAAAGGTTCCACTGTCCACGGGACAGCTGTGGGAGGGGTGCGTCCACCTGTTCCACCCGGCTGCCCTGCAGGCTCTTGTCTGGATCTCATGACAATGTCAGGAGAGGAGGTGCCCCATGGGAGAGCACATGTGTGCGCCTGGGACCACCTCCGGGCCAGGTTGTCTGGGTTCCAGGGCGACCCATTAGAGGCAAGGCCCCCGGGGAGAGCTGGGCGTGGGCAGGGTTGTGGCTCCAGCCCACTCAGGTGCCTGCCTGTCCCTTTTTCCCAGAATGACCGTGTGGCTGTCCACCGCCCCGACGGAGCCCCTGACCCACTGGTACCAGGTCCGGTGTCTGTTCCAGTCACCACTGTTCGCCAAGGCCGGGGACACGCTCTCAGGGACATGTCTGCTGATTGCCAACAAAAGGTGCGACCCCTCCGCCCCGGGCTGGGGAAGTGGCCGCCCACCGGCTCACAGCGCCCTCCACTCTCTCCAGACAGAGCTACGACATCAGTATTGTGGCCCAGGTCGACCAGACGGGCTCCAAGTCCAGTAACCTCCTGGACCTGAAGAACCCCTTCTTCAGGTAGGTGTCCCGTCCCCGCCCACGGCTGACCCGGCTGGCTCCTCCCACGCCCCGCCCACGTACCAGCCCCGCCCACGTACCAGCCCCGCCCACGGCCCGCCTCCCCGCAGGTACACGGGCACCACGCCCTCGCCGCCGCCTGGCTCGCACTACACGTCGCCCTCGGAGAACATGTGGAACACGGGCAGCACCTACAACCTCAGCAGCGGGATGGCCGTGGCCGGTGAGTGGGCGCCCGCGACCCCCGTGGGGCCTGCCCGCCCGGGCCCGGCTCACGCCCCTCTGTGCGCAGGGATGCCGACGGCCTACGACCTGAGCAGTGTTATCGCCGGCGGCTCCAGCGTGGGCCACAACAACCTGATCCCTCTCGGTGAGCGGCCGGGCCGGGGCGGGCGGCACCCGGCGGGCG